TTATAAAAATAAATAAATAAAAAACAAATAAACCACCACCTATTGTCATTTTGATTAGGACTGCATTGAATTAGTATATATCAGAAACCAAAACATTCACTAAAACATTCAATTGTATTTTTAAACACACACAAAAATTTACCGCATAAGAATTATCCTAAACCTAAAGAAAATATATAATGCCAACATATAAACATAACTATTCTTTTTAATTGTACAAGAGAATCTGCAGGTAAGAATTTGTCAAAAACCAAATCTTCCATTTTCCTTATATTTCCTCTACCTTTATATAATCCTATCTAGAAGTTAAAAATTAGATTTCCTAAGTAATTACAAAAACCTAATTCATCATATAGCCACACTACAGTACTACAGAAATTAAAATGTATGAATAATGCTATTTCTAGAAGCACACCAGGTTCTAAGTCAGAAGGCTAATAATTCAATTCCTTAGAACTCCAACTCTTCAAAGTTCAGTAACCACTCCAAAAATTTGGAGGTAGGGAAGGAAGAATATTCTAAAGTCAAAAACTAACAAGGTAGGTCAAGAGATTGAACTGTACATTACTAGGGATAAAGCACCAAATTAAAGTAGGAAGCCAAGAATGCCCATACATAGAGGACACTCATGGATCGAATGTTTTTAAGTCTAGAAGTACCAGCTTACTTATTACTTTCCCAGAAATAATTTTTACAGTTTTTTTAAAAAAAGAATGAAATGAAAACGGACAAAACTTATACCATTTAGACATACCTTTACTTTCAAGTTTTTCATCCACTTTGACATTGCCAGAGAATCCATTTTCTATAAGACAGTGTTCAATGAGAGCTGGTCCATAGGCTACAGAAGCAGAAGGTATTATTTTTAGTATTCTCCTATAAAATTTAACATTCAAAATATAGTACAAAGTTACATCCCAATATAAATGATCTACTCAATAACAGCAGCCAGTGAAAATCACAATAAATTTATATTAGAAATGTTATCAGAAATGACAATTCAAGTACTTAGAAAAATTTGAGACTACAATAAATTTGTAGAAATCAGTGCAAGTTACAGGAATTTAATGGAGTTCAGCCACATATAAAAAGGATTATAAACCATGACCAAAGGATTTATCCACAAAATACAAGGTTGGTTTGCATCCAAAACTTGGTTAATGTAACATATCATATCAATAGAATAAAAGACAAAAAACATGTATCATTTCAACAGATGCAGAAAAATCATTTGATGGAATTCAACATCAATTCCTAATAAAAACTCTCAATAAACTAGGAATAGAAGGGAGGTTTCTTAAGCTGATAAAAGACACCTACAAAAAACTTATTAACATCATACCTAACAGTGAAAGACTGAATGCTTTCACACTAAGATCAGGAACAAGGAAAGAATATTCACTCTCACCACTGCTATTCAACCCTGTACTGGAAATTATAGCTAGGCAACAAGGCAAAATTAATTTATGAAAAGCATTCAGATTCAAAAGTTAGAAGTAAAGTGTCTTGGGCCGGCCCGGTGGCACACTCGGTAGAGTGCGGCGCTAGGGAGGGTGGCGGCGCTCCCGCCGAGGGTTCGGATCCCATATAGAGACCGGTCCGCTCACTGGTTGAGCGGAGTGCGGGCGCGACACCGAGGGTTGCGATCCCATTACCGGTCACGAAAAAAGACAAAAAAGGAAAAAGAAAAAAAAAAAGAAAAAGAAGTAAAGTGTCTTTATTCATATGAAAACTCTAAGGAATCCATAAAAAAACCAAAACTAACCAACCAAAAAAACTACTAAAACTAATAAAGATATTTATTGGGTTTGCAGGATACGAAATTAAAACACAAAATTCAATTGTATTCCTATCCAAAAATGAAATTAAAAAACAATTCTACTCACAATAGCATCAAAAAGAACAGAATGTTCAGGAAAAAAATCTAACAAAGGAAGTACAAGACTTATACACTGAAAAGTATAAAACATTGCTGAGAGAAATTTTAAAAGATCTAAATAAATGGTGCAACATTCTCTGTTCATAGAAGACTCAACATAGTTAAAAATGGCAATTCTCCCCAAATTGATCTACAGATTCAATGTAATCCTTATCAAAATCCCAGCAGGCTTTTTTTGTAGAAAGTAACAATTAAATCCTAAATTGTATAAGGAAATGCAAGGGGGAAAAAAAAGAACAAAGTTAGAGAACTTATACTATCTTATTTCAAAACTTATAGAAATTAGCCAAGGTGAGACTGGCTTAACCTAAACTTACAAATTTTAAACACACTATAATAACATGAAATTTCTAAAGATAACTTTTAATGCATTCTAATTTCACAAAAGAAGAGTAACTCCCTAATGCCTCTGCCTCTATGTCTTCTCCAGATTCCTTAATATAGGGCTAAGTGATGATCCCCGTAAGTGTAAAAGTTTATTGGGATCAAAAGGATCCAGTAGATGCTAGGATGCCCTGAGACCCAGAATTTAAAAATACTAAGCTATAGGTTATTAAACGAAAGATTCACACTGAAAAAAACCTGATTTCTTAGAATAGCACAGCTAGCACCGAAGTGCTAGATACCACTCTACATTGCTTTAAAATGAAATCTAACACATAAGGAAAGTCCACACCTCATGTGGTATAATAACTTCTCTTTCCTTGAAAATAAACTCCTACTTACCTACTCAAAAGATCATTTTAAACTCCTTGTTCAAATTTTCTACCATAACCAAAAAAGATTTAAATATATTCCTGAAATCCATATTATCTTGTGAACATTCATTGCTATACGTAGGATTACTCACGAAGTAATGGGTTAAGAACTCTCTTCAGTAGTTCGCCCTTAGGTGCACTGGCTATTATTTCGGTCAATCTGGGAAACAAAATTGACATACCTCTTATTATCTTATATTTAATAAACCTTACAGCCATGTTCGTATTCCCACTCCTTTCATCTGCACCAATTCACCTGATCTTTGCGATACTCTGAAATGTAATAGAAACTAGTTCTGTAGGTGAGAAAATGGGTCATAAAAGTAATTTATCCAAGATTAGCAGGTTCCTAAACAGCCAACTGAAAGTTGAATTCAGATTCTCTAAGAGAAATCAGTATTTTTCAACTAAGTCACATTGTTTATCATCAGTACACACATCTATAAATGACATGAAATAGACATTTTTATGTAAAAGTTAAATGTGAATCCTCCTGCCATACTGTAACACCTGAAATGGCTTCACCTAATTAAGCATTTAACAAGAACTCTTAAAGACGCTGTGGATCAATGTGGTTCCCAGAGTAGCAGAATCAGAATCACCTTAGCACTTGCCAAAAATGCAAATTACTGGGCCCTACACTAGTTCTACTGAATTCATAAAGAGTGAGGCAATCTCCTTTAACAAGCCCTCCAGGAGATTTTGATGCATGCTAAACTTTGAAAACCACTGCTGCAGACTTTAAGTCAGCAAAGCCTTCCAGCCAGAGAGTACACAGCTACAATCATCATCTTACCCCACCTTACTTCCCTTTTTCTTAGATAAACCAGAATTTCTATCTCCATGTGCACTCTGCCCAAGATATCCATCTGTCTTCTCACAGAATAGCTAAGTTCCCTCATTTTACCAAGAAATCATAAACATCTGAAGTAATCCAAAACTTAGTTTAAAAAGAAACATTTGCTACTCCCAAATAAGGTTTAATTGCTTACACACACATTTATGTAGTTCAAGCAGTCTAAATTTAGTTGTTATACAAGTAAACAAAATATTTACTTATCTGACAATTTTTTCATATTCAGGTATATGACCTATTTTACCTTTTAATACAATATGACGTGAGTTTAAAAAAAATTACCTTTCCAAAGTAAGCAATGGTTCGGCAGCTCTAGCATGATCAACTGGATAACGTTCACGAACAGCAAATTTAACATCATCTGCCTCATCAGTTCTAAACCTTAGGATATTTAAAATTAGGTACTCATAATCTGTAAGAACAATGTTCCCCTGCAATAGAATAAAATACAACTTAATGCTTTTCCAAATCATTCTTGAAACTTCCTAAAAATTGAGAAAGGAAATGTATTCTCTTAACAACCTAATCACTGTTACAGAAATGAAGTTATAAAACAAAAATCACCAGGGTCACATCTAGCCAATGTTCCTTGCACTTGCCCAGCACAGAGTATGAAATAAGATAAATTCTAAAGACTCCAAGTTTGAAACACAGTGAAAGAATCTAGAGAAACATTAACCTCATTGTCTGATGGATCTGCAGAAGTTACTAACAGAAGCACAGTATTACATGACTGTACTTCAAAAAGTTCCTGGAAAAACTGAATTACAAGATAACACAAATCTTTCTGTGAACTTTTTGAAGTATCCTAATATTAACAGCTTGACAATTACCAGCTGAGCTTACTGTTACAACTGCATGAGGTAGATCTGCAAACACCTGCTTATAAAGAGAAACAGAACAGATATATACCAGAAGCCAAACAAAGAGCTATTACACAAGGGTATTTCAAAAAGTTCATGGAAAAACAGAATTGAAAATAATACAAATCTTCTCATGACCTTTTTGAAGTACCCTAGTACTTTCACCTGCAATTTGTCTTTTAATAACAATAGTTATGAGTCAAGAGCAATAAAGAGAGTTGAACCTTTTGCCCAAGTAATTCCACATTTGCTAATGTGGCCTAATGAACTAACTCAGTAAAACCAAAAGCTACATGCTTAAAGATGTTCATTGCAGTTTATTTACAATGGTGGGGGCGGGGGGGCGGGAGGGAGGAAAAAGCCTAAACATAAAAATTAGGGAAACTGTTAAATAAATTAGAATAGATCAACATAACAAAATAGCAAAAAGCTTTTACCATATGAAGATCATAAAGCCAGAATACCTTCAAAGGAGCAACATCACTGACTGCTCCTGATTTCAATAGAATCAACAGCCACCAAAAGAATATATACTATTTTTATAACTGTCAAAAATGTACTTAATTAACAAGGGAACCAGCCGGATGGCAAAACTCATTCTAAGAGAAATAGAGTGAGTGAACTATTCAGAGTGGCTGAAAGGCAATTGCATAATTGCCCATTTAGATAGTAACTGGTTATTGCCTCCCTGGGCAATAATACTGTAACGTTTGGGGCTTTCTTTTCTCTAGACAGAAATAATTTGAGTCTTTACGGGATGAAATTATTTTCATTGCTATCAGGCAAGAACCATTTGCACTGCTATCAGTTTTCTACAAGTTAAAGTCTACTCTTACAGAGTTGTAAAAAAAGCCTAATAAATAGTAAATAACAAATCAATCAAAGACATATACCCCTAGAGAAAAAGATAACCCCCAGGAAGGCCCAGCAGGATACTAAAATGATATTTTGCCCTTTTTGTCTCCTTTTGGAGAATTTTTAATAGTCCTCTCTTATGATCATGATGTCTAAAATTATTCTCGATTACACATATACAAAATACTCTTTTTGTGTTTGTTTTGGCCTTATTTATATGCATATATGCAGCAAGAAATGTTAGTTAACGTATATAACTCTCCTTGTACTATGGTCAGCAAATCTAGAGCCACATGGTAGTAAGCAATTACTTAAGGCCATAATAATTACTGCTGCCTAGAGAATTCATAAGAAATTTGAGGTTTATTTTCAGTAGTCTCTATTATTCCAGAGATTTAAAAATTACCCTTATTTGTTCCTAATTCCAAGGCTATGAAACCAAACCAAAAACAAATTATCACTACCAGTTTTATCTGTGTTACACCCTTAAACGTAGGTAAAGTTCCTCAAATCTACAGGAAGTGACCTTCCTAACTATCTGTAGATTGGGATCCTATATGCCACAAATTATGTGCTAGATTAGATTCCCAGGACGGCTTTGTGGACACGATTCTACATATGAAGTATAACTTTTATTCTTAATGATGGGCTTCTCATACCTTAATTAAATGAGATTTATTCTCAAATATGACTAGGTATGACCTTGGTCACATAATTTGCCTAATTTTATCCTAGTAAAAGGAAGGACAAATTCTTATTGAACCTATGTAAATATACACATTGACATAATTTGAATCTCTACTGGATGAAATTATTTTTTCATTGCTGAGCAGTAAAAAGCCTCAGTGAAAAGCATTTATTCCTAAATTCTAAAGGATTGAGAGGAAACTACCATTTAATGAATATATCACTTCAGTTTGCAAAAGTATAGTCTACTAAATTAAAGGTCAGAGAAAAACGGCTTTCTGTGTAATTAATTCTTATTATCTTAGATTATAGGTTAGCAATCTATTTTCATGAAAGTATGCTTCTAGGCTAAAATGAGTCTTATAAATCCTAATTTGGTCCACTAATACTGTATAGCATGTGTCTAAGCGACGCCAGCCCAGACATCAGTACGCTATTACTCGAAGTATCAATATTTAATAGTAGGCATCAGAAAACTTTTTCTGTAAAGGGCCAAATAGTAAACATTTTAGGCTTTGTGGGCCACAGTGGTCTGTCACATATTCTTTTTTTTTTTTTAAACAGCTCCTTCATATGTAAAAACCATTCTCAGGGCCGACCCGGTGGCGCACTGCTACAGTGCGCCGCTTGGGAGTGTGGCGGCGCTCCCGCCGAGGGTTCGGATCCCACATACAGACCGGCTGCTCACTGGCTGAGCGAGGTGTGGACGCAACACCGAAGGTTGCGATCCCGTTGCCGGTCCCGGTCCGGTACGGGCGTGACACTGAGGGTTGCGATCCGTTGCCGGTCACGAAAAAAGATAAAAAGGAAAAAAAAAAAAAAAAACCATTCTCAGCTCACAGGCCTTACAAAAAAGGGGCTGCAGGTTGTATTTCATCAACTCTTATTTAAAAGTATCTGGTACAGTCCTTCCCACTGACGTTCTGAGACTGCCTTCTTTGTTGAAGACCCAATTTCTAATCACAAAATTATAGATACAAAATAGATTAGTAGTTGCCAGGGTTTAGGAATGGTGGGAGCAAGAGAGTGGGTGTTACTATAAAAGGAAGATCTTTATGGTAATAATAATAGAAGAAATCTCTATCCTGATTGTAGTGGTGGTTACATGACTCTACACATGTGGTAAAATGCATAAAACTATAAAAAAAAAAAAAAAAGAAAAAAAAAAAAAAAAAAACCATTCTCAGCTCACAGGCCTTACAAAAAAGGGGCTGCAGGTTGTATTTCATCAACTCTTATTTAAAAGTATCTGGTACAGTCCTTCCCACTGACGTTCTGAGACTGCCTTCTTTGTTGAAGACCCAATTTCTAATCACAAAATTATAGATACAAAATAGATTAGTAGTTGCCAGGGTTTAGGAATGGTGGGAGCAAGAGAGTGGGTGTTACTATAAAAGGAAGATCTTTATGGTAATAATAATAGAAGAAATCTCTATCCTGATTGTAGTGGTGGTTACATGACTCTACACATGTGGTAAAATGCATAAAACTATATATACTGTCCCAATGTCAATTTCCTGATTTTAATACTATGCTATAATTATATAATATGTAGCAATTGGGGAAAACTAGGTGAAGGGTACATAAGACCTCTCTGTACTATCTTTGTAACTTTCTATGAATCAATCATTTCAAAAATGAAAAGTTAAAAAACATTTTTAAGGGTATCATACAATTAAAGAAAAAAGTTGACCACTACCTGAGATCACATACAAATATCAATTCCAGAGACTTCCAGTCAGCGTCACTCTCTCCCACAAATCAACTAATTTACAACTATTAAAAGAAACAACAGCCAAGCTGAGACTGCTAGAGCTCAGGGGAAGAGGAGAGACCTACGGAATTCATGAAGGCCAGAGAACCCATGATGAGAGAAAGAAAAAAACTCTCCAACCATTTTGAGCTGCGGCTGCTTCCAGGCTGGAGCTGCTAAGTGCACTGAGCAAGAGCCAGCAAAAGCCGCAGCTGTGCCCTTCAGATGAAATTGCATGGAGGCAGCAGAGAAGAAGAGGGCCTTGGTGGTCCCCAGGCCAGCAAGACCACTAATAGGGTTTCTGTGGACCCACATGGGACTGAAAAAAGGAGCCTCTCAGAGGCCAGTGAGTCATCACGAGGGACTGACGTACAGCCTGTCCCATGGGAAGTGTTTGCAGCATGGGCAGTGGGGTAGACGGGCCCACCGGGAGAACACTGGGACACAGCAAGGACAGCTGATCTGCCTCCAATCAGTATAGGACCACTCAGAGGAGACTGGTCAGGAATATAGAACTGCAGGGGGTGTTGTTTGATGAAACGACGCAGGCGCAGACCACTGTGTCTACACAACCCAGGTGCACTGGATTTCACTAAACCCACAAGTCCTACAAAGTCAACCATTAAAACCTGAGTGGCACAAAAAGTCTTCCCCAGGGAATCAACAACAAAGCAGCAATTTAGCTCAACCACAGAGCTCAAGTGCTGGTCCCCAAAGGAAGTTCCCCCACCTTAGAAATAAGCAAATGACAACAAATTAGTTCCAGTGCAGAGTTTAATTGGTGAGAACAGCAAATAATCCAACACAGAACTGAAAGAAAAAATAGAGTACCCACAACCAGAGACAAAGTTTGATATTAACTAGTAAAGGTCTCATATCACCAAAGAACACCTATAACACCTAGAAGGAACAGAAGTCCCCTGGGCTACCAAACCAGAAAGGGGAGATAACCAGGCACACTACCAGCACCACCGGGCCCTCCCCACGTCCTGGGGCATGAGCCAGGGACTGGACCCCTCCCACAACCAGGCACACTGCCATCACCACCAACTAGGTAAAGAGCATGCCAAAATCATTACCTCCATATGGGTGGCCCACCACAGCCAATACAATAACCACAGTTACCACAAAAGTGGCTAGATGCCACAACCACCACACAGATGGTCTGCCAGCCACTGGAGTGCACTGACACAAGGAGAGTCACCAGGAGAGACCAGAGAAAAGGATGTCTCTCTCTGCAAAGCTCGTTCTAGAGTGACAGAAAAAGCATCTGCTCTAACATAATACTGGGGGAGGGCCGGCCTGTGGCTCACTTGGGAGAGTGTGGTGCTGATAACACCAAGGCCACGGGTTCAGATTCCTATATAGGGATGGCCAGTTCACTCACTTGGGAGAGCGTGGTGCTGACAACACCAAGTCAAGGGTTAAGATCCACTTACTGGTCATCTTTTAAAAAAATAAAAAATAAAAAAATAAAATAATATTGGGGGACCTGAACATACCTCTTAGCATTGGACAGATCATCTAGGCAACAAATCAACAAAGTAACCATTACTCTTTCAGAAGGAGAGAAGAAATCTAGGGTAATTAGAGGGGGTAGGGAGAGGGGGATGGGGAGAGATTGGACAAGGAGCATAAAAAAATAAGTACGATTTGTAACAAAATATATGCTAGTAATATTGATTTGATCAAAACATGTCAATGTTGAACTCCCAAAATATGTATAATTAATTATGATTCAATAAAAATTAAAAAACAAAAATCAATTCCAGGTGGGCTGCAGCTGCTGTTGTCTCAGGGGAGGGGGGAGAAAGGTGGCAAAAGGAATCATTGGCAAAGAAAAGTACAGGGATCAGCAGCTGGTTTCACTACCCCTGTCCAACATCTGGGTCATCACAAAAAGCTCCCCTGAGGTGATCTCAAGGAAGTGCTTATGCTTAAAGGCTTCGGAAGTCCTTGTCCAATCTAGTCCTACAAAGCCATCTAGTCCTACAAAGATGGCAGCAGAAAAATAAAGCACTATTTACAATTACTATTACAATTCATTAAATACTCCAAAAGAAACAGAAACCTGAGTTTCTCGTATGTACATTACCAAATTTTTTTTTGACTGCTCAATGCCTAAAAATATTTATAGAGGAGACCAGAAAAAAAGAGGAAAGGAAAATGATAACGATGAGAACTATACGGATAAAATAATGTTCTAATTTGCCCTGTTTCTCTCCATTCTTACTAATACGGTTATTGCAAAAGTCAAAATTAGCTTAATCATGACCCTTCTAAATCAGTCCGTTGCTTCTATATAAGCACAATGCTGTGGGATTTTTAACTCCCTAACTTTTCAGAAATTCCAAGTAGATCCTATTCTTTCCAGGCTATGGTATGGCATTCAGTGTATCTATACCATAAGTAAATAAAAGTGTGTAATTGTTGAGAGACAATTCTCCATGGATTCCTCATGTTCCAGCATGGACCAAGCAATGGACATGTCTGAACAGCAATCATGCCTTATAAGCTAGAGATAATATAGCCCTCCATAAAGAATAAGAGATGGAGACAACTCAAGGTAGTAAAGACAAAGCTTTTTCCTTCTCCTTTCTGGACACATTTGTTTACATTCCAGGGTAATGAGTAATCTCTTTCAGGAGGAGAGAATCAGCAGGTCACTACCAGCCCTCATCAAAGATGATATTCTCCTAATTTCAGGATTCCTCTCCTCCGGTACATCACACTGCATGCACAAGTTAACATCTGGTCCTCATCATGTCACCCTGTAGGGAACAGGTAATTAGGAACTGACACAAGGTACTGTTCTGGCTGCCATTTTGCTGTAATAAATGGTTTGTTTCTCTGACCCAGGGGTCTTGTGTTCATCTGTCAGTATGAGTGTATGAGTGTGTGGGTGTATAAATATAGCATGTATGTATGTATAAATAATTAGATAAAAAATAACTATGGTAGGAAAGTTTGCAAACAGCATAAACTCTCAGACCCTTCACAATTTCTGACTTAAAAGTAACTCACACAGAAGCCTCAACGACTTGCCCTATATTAACAGTGAAAGACTGTTATACAATTACAGCGGCATAAAGTAATCATCTATAATTATGAGTTGTACAGCAAATAAGTATTATTTAAATTTGTATTTACTTGCTGAGATTTATAAATTAATGTGAAATATCAGAAAGTGTACTTATGTGTATTATGAAATTAGCTTAGTTCTGTAGACCACTATATTTAATCTCAAATAGCAGACTGAACCATTTCTAACCTACAAAAATGGCAATTTTATATGACTCAGTGTAATATGTAAATATGGGTAGTTTATTATATACAAATTCCTTTATGGCAAGAAAGAAACATTGCCATTCTATTAGTAAAAAGACTATTTTTAATGTAAATCAGTATAGTTTTCCTTTTCTGTTTTTAAAATAAAAGCCTGTTCTTTTTTTTCCAAATATAAAATATTTACAAACTTAAAAAAAATCAACTCCAGTAGACTGTGATCTAAATATGAAAGATAATTAAGGGTTCTAAAAGACAACATAGATGATTTTCTTCATGACTTTGGGGAAGAGAAACATTTCTTAAACAGGACACAAAAAAGAACCAAGTACAAAGAAAAAGATTGATAAATTGGACTACTTTAAAATGAAGAATGATTAAATGAGTAAAAACTCAAGTTAGAGCAGAAGAGGATATTTACAATAAAAATAACCAGCAAAGAGCTCACATTCAAATGATGTAAAGAGTTCTGCTGAATTAAGAGACAGACAATACCAAGTGCTGGTGAGGATGTGGAGCTAAGTGAACTCTCAACAACACTGACAAATCTTACAAACATAATATTTATTTATTTTTTTTTTTTTTCCTTTTTTTGTCTTTTTTCGTGTCCGGCAACGGATCGCAACCCTCAGTGTCGCGCCCGGACCAGACCGGACCGGCAACGGGATCGCAACCCTCGGTGTTGCGCCCGCACCTCGCTCAGCCAGTGAGCGGGAACCGGTCTGTATGTGGGATCCGAACCCTCGGCGGGAGCGCCGCCACGCTTCCCAAGCGGCGCACTGTAGCAGTGCGCCACCTGGCCAGCCCACAAATCTTACAAACATAATATTTAATAGAAGAACACAAGCCCCCAAATGAACAAACTATATGATTCTATTCATATAAAAGTTGGAATCAGGCAAAACTAAACCATGGGGCTCAAAGGCAGAAGAGTGGTTTCCTATGAGAAAGGCAAAGGAGATAGTGTTTGGGAGGAGCCACAAGGGAGGCTTCTGTTATGATAGTAACTACCTATTTCTTATACCAGATAGTGAGTACATGGATATTGTGGTAGGAAGCTTCCAAGACAGTCCCCAATGATCTCAGCCTCCTGGTATTCAAGCCCTTATGTAATCCTCCCCACTTGAGTGTGGGCTAGACTAGAATATGGCAGTAGTGAAAGAACGTCATTTCTGAGGTTAGGTTACAAAAAGCCTATGGCTTTCTTCTTGGGTAGCTTTCTCTCAGAATACTCACCCCGAGAGATGGCAGCTGCCATGTTGTAGGGCAGCCCTGTGGAGAGGTCCATGTGGTAAGAGACCTAGGACTGCCAACAACTATGTGAATGAGCTTGGAAGAGGATTCCCCCAGTCGAACCTTCAGATGAAAGCACAGTCCCAAACAACAGCTTCACTGCAACCTCATGAGAGTATTACGGCAGAGGTACTCAGCTAAATTGCACTAATTCCTGACCCACAGAAGCTGTGAGATAATAAGATGTTGTTGCTTTAAGCCATTAAGTTTTAACATAATTTGTTACATTGTGATCAATAAATAATACAGATATGTTCACTTTGTGATAATTCACTAAACTATACATTAACCATGTGTCTCATACCTCTAATAAAAAGCTTAAAATTATTAAAACCATGTTGTAAAAACTTAAAAAACAAATTTAGCTCAACATTATTTTTTTAATTGCATAATATTCTATTATATGGGTCTACCTTAATTATTTAACCTATCTCTTATTTAAAGACATTTAGGTTCTTTCCAAGTTTTAACTATTATAAAGACTATGATGAATACTCTTGGTATAGTCCTGCCTGAGGTACTTGTCTCATTTGCTTCTTATGATAAATTCCTAGAAGCAGAATTCCTGGGTCAAAGAGTATACACACAAACTTTAAATATTATGTTAATACTGACAAACTGTCCTCCAAAAATAATATTCTAATTTGCCCTGTTCCTCCCCATTCTTACTAATATGGTTATTGCAAATGTTCTAATCATCTATATATTGACAGAGAAAGAAAAAAAGGAGGAAGAAAAATATCTTACTGTTTTTATTTCTTCAATAATTAGTGAATTTAAACCTGTTCATGCTTCTATAACCATTTGTATTTATTCTTTTTTGGATTATCTAATCAAACACTTTGCCCATTCTTTCACTTGAGTACTTTGTGAAAACTGCATATTAGAGCAACGAACACCTTATTCACCATATAAGTTACAAATATTTTTTCCTAGTTTTCACCTTTTGATATAATTCATGGTGTTTCCTGACTTACAGTTTTTGAATTAAGTAGTCAGATCTGTCAGTATTTGTTTCCACTGCTTAAAAATCTTTTTCATACAAAATTCATCAATCTTAACCCATATTTTCATCTACTACTTCTAAAGTTTCATTTTTTTTTTATATTTAAATATTTGAAGCATTTGAAATTTAAGTAGCTCATGAAATATTTATTTCCAAGATAGAATTTGGTGACTGGCAGAGGGAGGACGAGAGAAGCAAGAATGGTAAGGCCATAAGCAGTCCTCCTCTCAACACTCAGGACAGGGCTGGCTGGTTAGCTCCTTTGATTAGAGCATGGTGTTGATAACATCAAGGGCAAGAGTTCGAATCCCCATGCCAGCCAGCCACCAAAAAAATTTTAAAATTTAAAAAATTAAAAAATAAAAAGACTGATGACAGTATGAAAACACAGCGATGTCCCTGGGTCTCAACAGCTGTTTTATTTATAAAACAATTATGTGTCTATTTTCTGGTTGCACTATCCTGAAATGTAAAATACCAGACAGTTTCTTCAATTCTCAGATCTTCATCTCCTACGTTCATGTTATTCTGAATGGCTAAGGTCTGCTTAAATTCCAACCTCCAGATAAAATGAGGGTATTTACTGGAAAATTATATTTTACTTGTGTGGCACTTGATTATTTTCTTAATATATCAACAGCTTTTGATACAGGAAAAAAATGTTCCCCACCAATGTTTTATACTATTATATGTTTTCACTATTACATGAATGATTAATATAATGATGAATTCTCCTCCACCCCATCCCCTAAATTTAACTTACCCTATCATAGAGCTCAACGATTAAATGATAAGCAGCTTCATCACTTCCAAATTGAAAATCTACAATTCTATCCACACCAAGCTGTTTTGCACTGACTAATCTCCGACTCTTCAAATGTTTTCGGCACTAGCAAGAAACAGAAAAAAAGGCATTTATGTAGTAAACGTGAATTCCTAACCACTAGGTATTGGTTTATAAATAAGCTTCTTTTTATTACTGTCAGAAATAACATTTAAAAGGTGATAGATAAAATAGTACAGTCATAAAATAAAAGCTTGTAGGGGGCTGGCCAGTTAGCTCAGTTAGTTAGAACCCAGCCTTGTAATACCAAGGTCACGGTTTTGGATCCCTGTCCCGGCCAGCTGCCAAAAAAGCAAAACAAAAAAAAATTAAAATAAAAAATAAAAGCTTGCAGATAATAAACACAGGAAAAACATTTTATTTTAGACAACTGACTGCTAATTCTGAAACTATCTTATGTTCAATTTTTAAGTAGACAAAGACAGACATACTGAAGTTTGTTTTGTTGCTTTATACTACTGCTAAATCCCTTGTTCTTTCTCTGATGACCTCACTCAAATACAAAAGCTTCATTTTTTTTCTGATCTCTTTCTATGTCATTTTTTTAAGTATCCCAAATTTCCTTTTGTGTGCTTTGCTTGTGTTCAAAATTAATTAATGGTTTCCACTAATCTTCCTCTTAAAATACAAACGCTGGACCATGAGCTTATGGTGTCCAGAGTCCCCCAATTTACAAAAATTACCCTCTATTCCCACAAACTTTATTAATATAACCCAAACAGAATTTTCTTGGTGCTATCTCCAAGTTTTTGATTAACCTATTTTATAATCAAAAATAGCTCCCATTATTTTTTTCAAATCCCATTCATAACAATAAGGTTCTCTTCCTTATTAATAATTAAAATAAAATTAGCAGGCCAAACCCCAATACAAATTACTTTGTAAATACCTATTATTTTAGGTTACATGTATCCATCCTTTAGTACAAATATTTAAGTATGACATGGATCAGTAATAAGCCTACTCTGTAGCCCCTAAAAAAAATTTTACAACTGTTTCTAACTTTTTCATTTAAAAGACACCTTAGTTAAAACCATTAAGAAAGAATGCTTTCTTCAAGCATTTAAAAATTTAAGACAAATTTTGGGCTGGCCCCGTGGCTCACTCGGGAGAGTGCGGCGCTGGGAGCGCCGAGGCCGCAGGTTCAGATCCTATACAAGGATGGCTGAGCGCG